TGGGATTGAGCATACAAAAAGCATAGCATAAGCTGAACAAGACATTTAGTTTTCTGATGCTCCTCTGCCATTATATATGTATTTCTCAATACTCCGTAGAAGAGTATTATTTCGTTTCCTCCCATTTCTTTGATTTCTCAAAATGGGGTGTCAGATATCTAACAGTTTTAGGTACATGAACTTTTGTAATGATGCTAAGATGGCTAACTGTGGCTAGAGAAAAAGGTGTTTGAATGACTCTTAAGTCTCAGAAAACTGAAGAAATGAAATTTCCTGCAGGTTTGCTGTCACATGCAATGCGGTTCTCATGTCTTGAATAGAGCCAGCCATACAGCTCATCATTTGCTGCATGCATCTGTGGCTGACTCTATGACCCAGCTCCAGTGGTATGACTCATGAGCCCATGAATATGTTAGCAAAACTGGGTCATTTGCTTTGCTTCAACTAAATATAAGACTAATGTGAGAAGCCTGGCCATTGGAAACAGTTCTTCACATAGAAAAGCCGTAAGAAGTATAAATTTTATAGGTTCTCTTATTTGAAGAATCAGCCTAGAAATGAGACTAGGTAATCTAAACCTGAGAAATACCAACTATTAATCATTTATCCCTATTTCTGTTTGCCATTCCGTCTTTTATACCATGGCCCCTTATTTCAGTGATTGAAGCCTAATACCATCTAAGTGACTGGCAAAAAAATAATTGTGTGTATGTGAATGTATTTTCCTTCTAGAGTATATGATGATTAATAGTGTAGGTATGTAAGAGGTATAAAATCATCTAATTTTTTATCTACTAAGCACTAGTTTAATATTGCTTAGAAAATAACTATAATCTAGTATTTCTTAATTAGTTATAGGAACCAAATCATAGTCTTTGAATTGTATAATGACAATAGAACAAGTTTAACTGGAAGATATTTAAACTGGTAACATGTGTATAGGAACCATTTAAGATACTTATTATCTTAGTAAACCAGCAGTCAAGAAATTTTTTGATTAAGCAGTAAGAGAAAAAAATTATTTACTACAAAATTCTACATTTTCCCATTTGAAATCTTCAATTTAAGTATGTTTAACAATGTACAATATTTGTATTTTATATTCGTGATTTTTTAATGTGTTGCCATACATATAAAAAGGAAAATATTATTTTTTAATGACATAGTTTCTGTAGTAAGTAGATTTTTTACTTTTTAAATGAATTTTCTATATCATTAAAACTTTTTCAACACTAAAACCAGGACCATTTGGATAGAACACTTTTGAGATACATACATATGTATTTATCTTCCTAAATATAGTATATAATTGATCTTTCAAGTTATTGCTTTAATATGCCACATACTGGTGATATTATTACTGGTTCTCTTAGATCTATTTGGGGAGTGCTCTTTGATGAGAATAATCTCATTAATTTTTTTTTTGGTAATCATATTTTTAAAAAATGTTAAAAAAATCTGTCATTTTTCACATATTTGCTTCTGTCAGTGA